AGGAACAGAGAGGCTAAGAGATGTGCCCTAGGTCACACAGCTAGTGTGGGCCTGGGCTTACAACACAGGAGGCTGACTGCAGAGCCTGGATGTTCAGTCACTGTGTCTTCCTCAGGAGCATCATGAGGATGATCTGTGTCCGCTCACAAAGCCCTGCTCGCTGTCTTTAATGTGCAGGCCTTACACGTTCCCCGCGGGCCTGTTCCAGCCACCGGTCTCTGCACTCGTTGCGGGCTCTGGGAGAGCCCCAGGTACCCGCCTGGCAGCACGCACCCGGCACCGTGGTCCCCCAGCGAGGAGGTGAACACCGCTGCTACCTCGCTCTTGAGTGGGGTGGCTCTGAGGTGTGAGCTCTACCCTGACTCCGGGAGTGCCCGCTCTGGGGAGAGCTCGTGACCCACTGGTCATGTTACCGGAGTCGGGTTGTTGGGCCCAACAGTAGAAGCGAGGCTGGACCCCAAAACCAAAGGCACAGCCAAGGCTCTCTTGGGGGTGCAGCTTGAGTGAAGGGGACACAAAGCACCAACAGAGACTGGCTGGGCCGGCCTCTGCGAGCAAAGAGAAGGCCCTGCCTGCAGGGAGAAAGTTCCGACTCGGGTTCCCACTCCGGGATGCTAATGGGGGGGTGGGGTGGGGGAAGTGCCTCGCCCTGATTGGTTGGAAGGGCTTCATTCTGATTGGTTGGAAGGAGCTCATCCTGATTGGTCGCTATTGGCAGGCAGCTCAGGCCGCTCAGTGCTTTTGGAGCAGTCTTCAGGTACGCGGAGTCTCTGTTGTAAATCCGTGTTGGGTGCAGGGCTGCGTCCTGGTTCTGCTCGGTAAGAGAAGTGGTTTACCAGTAACTGCTAACTGGAGCACCGGGATGGCTCAGTCGGTTAAGCTTCCTACTTCCGCTCAGGTCATGATCTCAGGGCTTGTGAGTTCGAGCCCTGTATTGGGCTCTGCACGGGTTTTTCTCTCTGCCCCTCACCGACTGGTGCTTTCTTAAATAAATTAAATAAATAAATAAGTAAAAACTTAAAAAAATAAATGAAAACTATAAATAAATAAATACATAAATAAATAACAACTAACAGCGCCCCAGGTGCATGGTTTTCACCTGGGACTTGTTCCGGTGGTCCCTAACTGTCTCAATGACTGGCTTGATTCCACACCCTGTCTTCCCGTCTTCCCTTCTCTGTGTCACGTCCCTGCTTCCTTACCCTATCTCCTCCAAATCTCAAACAAAAGGTTTGCATTGACTTCTTGCCCTATGCTTTGATTCTGAAGCACCCAGGCCAAGACAGGCTGCATAATGTTCCTTTTTTGAAGGTACCAAAGTCTATTCTATCGATCTCAGATGGGCAGATTTTTATAGGACTTCCAGTTTTTCTTACTATTGTGAATAATATTGTTGTGAATATTCTGGCATTATTGTCTTTAGATCAGGGCACCCGGGGCTCCTGCCTCCAAGACCTCACCCATCGGTCTTGTGTCTGGGCCTGGCCAAGGCCAGCAGCATCGTCCAAGGTGGTACCTCACGTGTAGACCAGGACTGGCTGGGTCCCACAGTGTGTTTCTTCCTTTGAGGTTGTTAAAAATGATTAAAGAAGCCAGTTTAGGTGATAGAAACAAACTTTATTTAACACTTTATGAAGCGGGCAGTCTTCCTTCCCAAGGATCCAGAGAACTGCAGAATGGGTCGGAAGACAGGAAGCTTTTATGGGATGAAGAATAAGGAAAAGGAAGAACAATGGAAAAAGAATAGAAAGCAGGAAAATAAGTAGAGACCCTGGAGTTGGCTTGGGGTGTGGGGATTGGCTGACTGAGGTAGTGGGTGTCTGGTCCACATGAGCATTTACAGGGACCCAAAAGTTATCTGTTTCCTTTTGCTGACATGGAACCCGGGCAGGGGGAGGGGCCCCATCTTGGGCCTCGAAAGTTGTTCCAACAGGGTGCACTTGGATCCTTTATCCCCTGTGGGGCTTACCTCATGAGGAGCTCAGGGGTTCATGCTTATGGACTGGTCTGGGACCACATGGCTGGACCCTGGTCCAGCCTTGCCAGCTTGTGGGATTCCGTTCATGGGATCGCAGGGTCAGCAGAATAGTGCTGACACAGATTTCAGGTGACTCAATTTTTAAATAGATGAGGCTCTCTAAAATATGTTTTCTCCTGGTCCCCACACATCCGAGGGGAAGTCCTATATTCTTGTATGTGGCCCTACTCACACTTGGAGTTCAGCAGCAATAATTCAGAATTGTCCAGAGGTTTGAGATCTGATCTGAGCAGATATCTTCTGAAATCCATTCAGCTTTTCTCTCTTCATATCAAGACTTTCTTGCTCATTGAATGCATGAGCATGTTTGGTGGGGCAAGGGGCTACAACATGATTTTCCTTAAATCTGTGGAAAAATTTTAAGAAGCACAAGAAATTACAGGTGAAAATCCTGACTTCAAGTGAATACTGAGAGTGTTTCCAAACTAATAAAATACAGCATGGGCTCTAAAATGTTAGACAACATGGCTGAACACCTTGGACACCACAGTGCGTGGTGTTGTACAGGCAGATCATCTTGCATCAGTGAAAACCTTGTTGTAAACTTCTCATTATAAAGCTTCTTTTTACCTAATGTAAGGGTATTGTCTTCAGATTGTAAAGTCAGTTTTTTAAAAAACCACATGGGCCGCTCTTCCTGTCACGGGTTCTGTCCCCGTGCTTTAATAAAATCACCTTTCTGCACCAATAAGAAAAAAAATGCAGTGCCTGGGTGGCTCAGTCGATTAAGTGTCTGACTTTGGCTCAGGTCGTGAGCTCATGGTTCATGAGTTCGATGAGTTCAAGCCCCATGTCGGGCTCTGCACTGACAGTGAGGAGCCTGCTTGGGATTCTCTCTCCCCCCACCCCCTCTCTGTCCCTCCCCTGCTTGCACTCTCTCTCTCTCAAAATAAATAATAAAAATTAAAAAAATATGAATCTAAGATATTCTCTGCCCACATCAAATTATAGACAGAGATTGAATGATGAGGCTAGAAGTGTCACTTAGAAATTCTGATTTCAGATTCTCAAGTTCAAATAGCCTCACTGTTCTTGTACATTGGCTATTTTATAAAAAGTAAATAAGTTTGCATATAGAAAATCATTTTATATGTCATAAAGATGTGGTTGATAGAATTGCCTTTTTCAGAGTCCAAAGGTCACTTTCCTAACCGTACAGAGCCCAGGTAGAATGTGTCCAAAGCGGCTGGGTGGTCAGGCTGGGAGCTTGGTGAAGGGATTTCCTAAGCCAAAGGCTGTGGTAGATGGTGGATGGGAGATTTAACTGGTGAGCAAATATCCCTGCCCTCATAGCGTTAATGTCTAACTGGATCCTCCTCGACTGGGCTAGGTTGGTGGGGAGGGCTAGGGGGTCAAGGAAGGCTGCTAAGGTGGTAGTTTAGGGGAGATCCAAGTCCTGTGTAAATGTAGAGAAGGAGCAGTCCAGAGGGAAAGCCAAGCCAAGGAAGAGCCGCAGGGCTGGCTGGGAAGTCATGAGTGTGGGGTGTCAGGTAATTAGGGCCATACCCTAGAAAGTCTGGAGGGAGTCCAAGGTTTACTTTACAGGCAGTGGGAAGGCAAGGAAGGTTTTTAAAAAGTGGGGCAGCGCCACGGTCTGATTTCTGTTTCCGTGTCACTCTGATTGTGCTGTGGAGAGAGGCATGGGGGAAGGGAAGAGGAAGCAAGAGAGCAATTTAGGAGCTCTCTGGTGGCAGACAGGGGGACTGTGAAGAAGTGAGTTCCAGATCTGTTTTGGAAGTGAAATGATAACCGTTAATCATAGATTCAGTGTAGGTGTGACAGAAAGAAGACTGTCAAGGATGACTCCAGGATTCTGGCTGGGATTTAATAAGGTAGTTGGGGAAGGTTGAAAGAGGATTGCATTTTGGGGGAAAGGCAAGAATTCTATTTCAGATTTTTTTGTTCTTTTAAGCCGGAGGTACCATTATATCCAAGAAGGTGTCAAGGAGGCATCTGGATGTGCTCGTCCATCTGGAAGTTAAAGTTAGAAAAGTCTGTGCTGAGACATATAAGTGGGGCTATTCGAACCCATGATATTTACAATTTCAGTCCTAAGGAGAACCATGGGTGTAGGGACTATGGAGAGAGACAAGGGGGCCTGGGACAGAGAAGGGAGCAATATCATGGGGGTGGGGGGCAGCGCATGCGGTCCTCCAAGGTCAGTCTTCCTACCCCAGATCAAAGAGCTGTGAGCCTCACAACTGCTTCTAGTGGGCGGTGACTCAGTGTCCATTCAGTGCATCAGGTCATCTAAATGCAATGGGGGACAGGCAACAGTGGAGAAGGTTTCTCATCTTTGTACTGGAAATGTTCCCACTGTGGGTTCAGGGGGAAGAGCTGAGCTCACGAAACATCTTCACCTAAAATAAGAGGCGACCTTTTCATTCATGGAAAGTCAGATTGCGTAAATATAAGTTGACATGGACAGCCTCCTTCCAAATTAAGAATAGATATTAGGTAAAAGAGGCTAAAAGAAGAAAGGTTTTTCACTAAAGGGGCAGAACAATCATTCACCATATGAAATTTTTAAAAAGATCTGGCAGATTTCTCCACTCTTAATTTGTGCCACTAACACAATGGTAATGAGACTTTGATTTCTTTTCTTGCTTTGTTTTGCAAGTTGCTTGCTTTGCTAAAAAGCTCAAGATTTATAACTGTCACTGACAGAATAAAAATAGTACAAGAACTATGATTAGTTTGTGTGTGTGTGTGTGTGTGTGTGTGTGTGTGTGTGTACACATGGAATAATTAAAATGTATTGTATGGCTTAAATTCAGATAGAAAAAGGCAATGTTCCTCTTTCTTATTTTTGTAATTAATTGATCATTTGTGCTTTTATTGTTAGAATTTGCTCAAACTCTAATATTCGAGTCTTCTGTTAGCTCACGTGAACATGCGTTTGTGTTGGAAAATGCTACTTAAAAATCAGCCATCCCTCTGCCTTTTAAACCTTCCTTCTTAGGGTCAACCAGGACTCCCAGGGCCACAGGGTCCTATTGGACCCCTGGGACTGCCAGGACCCATTGGAATTCCAGGAGAGAAAGGGATGAGAGGTGACAGCGGCCCTCCTGGAGCAGCCGGTGACAAAGGTGATAAGGTAAGCCTTCTCTTAAGTGAGGGACTCTTATTAACCGCTTACTGGCGCTACTGTGCCAGGTTTTTTATAATCACAAGTACTGTCTACTAGCACCTTATAATAAATTAAGTTTGAACTCCTCTTCCATAATCAGCCCTCATTCCCTGACTCCTTTCCAGAGGAGCATGCCTTTCTAGACTTCTCTATGCACTTAAATACCCGAGTGCACCCAATGAAGGGTTGTATTCTTTCATGGCTTTTTCAAAACGTAAATGACATATTTGTTGTGCTAAGCTTTTCTTTTTTGTACTCAGCCATATGGCTTACAGGTCATTCCTTATCAATTTGTGTAGATCAAACTTATTTTCTTAAAAATACTGCACAGTATGTCTTAATATAGATAAAACTATGGTTTATTCCCGGTTGATGTAAATTTGAGGTCCTGTCCCAACTTTGTGTCATGCTAGTGTGCAGAAACAATCCTGTAAATCGCCTACACTTGCATTTAATAGTTTATTTCTCTAGGATAGACAGACTCCGGGAAGTTGAATTTCCGGCTTATAGGGTATTGAACATTTTCTTTGAATTGATGGTGCTAAGTTGGCTTCCTAAGTACAAAAAGAAAAGTACAAAAGGTTAGTTTTTTAATTGTTGGCATTTAAATTCAATGCAAAAAAATAAGTGACAATGACTGCTAAGAGTCTTTTAAAAATTATGTCATTATTTATGTTTTCAAGTAAATCCATATGTTAATCTAATGCTTTGATACCTCTTATATCTTTGTTTTGTTTTCTGGGATTTTAGGGTCCAACTGGTGTTCCTGGATTTCCAGGTTTGGATGGCATACCTGTACGTATCCCTAAATTTTCATTTTTTTAAAAAAAGAGCTCATCAAAACCCTTAAAATCACATATATTTATATAGCAAACTCTTCTTTATTTTCTTTTGATAGTACAAGGAAAGGTGCTTACATTCCAGTTTTGTGTAATAACTTTGGGACTAAAAGACTTTACTTGAAAAGTAAGGTTTTCAATCAGATTCGAGAAAAACATTCCACAATATAAGCTATATATACCTGCCATATTCTGGAAATAAATGTATGCTCACAATGCAAGTTTTTACTTGCTGGTTAGTTTTGACAGTAGAAGTGGGCTTAAAACTCTCATTTCTAATATGGAAATGAAATGAAAGAAGGAAGAGTTATTTCAGAAGCTTTATAATCCATTAGAGAGTATTTGTAAAGATTTTAAGGAAGGTGATCTCCTAAATTTCTTAGAATATTCTAAACTAAATTAATTTCAACTGGGCTGTATTAAAATGTGTCTGTATATTTTTACTCTGCTACACAGTACTTGTGGGTGGGAAGGAAGTTTTTACAAATTAAATAACACGTGAGTCACAAATGCCTTAATTTGGGTACCCACACTGTGTAAACTTTGTGTTGCAGTATTCTTGCAGAAACACTTCACTTACAATCATATTTTTTACAGGGGCACCCGGGGCCTCCTGGATCCAGAGGCAAGCCTGGAATGCATGGGTACAATGGCTCGAGAGGTGATCCAGGGCTTCCAGGAGAAAGAGGAGTTCCTGGCCCAAGAGGCCCCCCAGTAAGACCTCCCACAGCTCATCCTAAAGTGAATCTTAAGTGAAGGGCTCTACAGTGGGCACATGCTTGATGTGGAGCTAAAATTCGTGCCTGTTGAAACTGTGTGAAGCAGGGACTGTCTGTATAGGCCAATCAGATGCTCAGGGAAGACGGTTGCTGTAACTTACCGCAAAAGCCTGAAGTTTCTCCCACTGGAAGCGAGGTCAGGACTTTTCTAGGAGGGATTAACTTTGAAATCTGCACGTCCTTCGTAGGAGCTTGATAAATGATATAATTCTTATGTGGTTACCAAATTAAGATATATTAAGATATTCAGTAGGAAAACTTTGGGAAAAGAGAATACATTGAATTTTTTCATTCACTTTTTAAAAATACTCTACATAAACTTGCAGCTACCTACAGAAACCTTCTAAAAGGAAGATGTTCTGTTTTTAAAAGTTAATCTTACAAAGTTACAGAGGCCCTATTTTGAATATGACAACTAAAATGGATAAAATCAGTTGTTAAGAAACTATTCCTAGGCCTAAATTATTAACTGACAATTGCAAAATTGTTTACTTGTAAGAAGTATATATTTGCATTATTATGTCTGAGGGAAAATGAAATTTTCCTGCTGAATAATTAGTAAATGGCTATGTATATTATTATATAATACGTAGCCTATATATATTATATATTTGTAAGATATATGTATAATATAAATATATTAATAGATACTCTCTTTGGAGATTCTTTAATAGATCTTAACTGAATTTTGAATAAATATGTATGAGAACCTTAGGATGATAGCAATAATGAATAAATGTCCTCTAGTGAAACATGACCATAATGGTATTTTACTGGTGAGTAATATTTCATAAAAAAAGAAAATACTACAATGGTAATATGATTTTTCCCCCTCCTAAGTGAATATTTTATTTTCAGGGCCTTCCTGGGGAAAATGGAGAAAAAGGAAATTCTGTGTTCATTTTAGGTGCCATTAAAGGAATTCCGGTAAGTTTTATGATCATAGTGAGTTTAAAATATTATTTTTCCACTAAGTAAACCCATCCAGGAAACACACGGACATATCTCTTTTGAAATGTCCCCAAGCACACTGTTTTTAATCATTATCCTGACTCTGTAGATGGCATCATACTTCTTGTGTGAAGACACTTAGCTTTAATTGCTCAGGCTATAAAATTCCAGTACCTCCCAATCGTTCTTGCAAAGTGCAGCAGAGACACTTATTTCCGGGTTTCTCAATCTTAGCACTGCTGGCATCTGGGGTCACATAACCGTTCCTTGTGGGTGTTGACTGCGTGCATTCTAAGATGCTGAACGGCATCTCTGGCCTCTACCCATTAGATGCCAGTAGCATCCCTCCAACTAAATAATATCTCCAGATATTACCAAGTGCGCCCTGGGAGGAAAGGTCACCCTAGTTGAGAAGCACTGATTTATTTGTAGTGAAAATATTGTAATGTTAATACCTGCTATCTGGTATAAAAGGAATCACTGCTCTTGAACTTGAAAATTATGGAAACTTTACAGCACTATCCTTGGTAAATTAAATGCTTTTGTGTTTCCATACACAATGATATACAAACTTCCAGAAATAAACTCTTGAATGACCATCTATATCTCTAATATGAGTACCATGCATGAGTTAAGCAGATCAGTAGATACAAGTCAAGAAGGAAAATACAATTCATTTCTAAGACATGGTCATTTCTCTTCAGAATATTCTACAACATTTAGGTAAAACTTAAATTTCTTCTATTAGACCCTGAGTTTCATGCCACCCAGGATGGGCAACACCTGAATGCTGATTCCTTTAGTGAGGTCACATTATTCGTTTGTAGCCTCTGAGCCTATACACGGCAACAACTATGCTTTTGTTTATAGCTTAAATGATATGTTAAGAAACTTAGCAGCAAGAGGAGGGTCACTCTAGGCACCAGGAAGGAATAAACTGATCCTTTCCTGCCACTGTGATCTTGAGCAACCCCTCAAACTCTCTGAGCCTCATTTTCCTTTTCTTTGTGAAGGTAAATGAAATTACTGTCTGCCCTGCTGTCTTCTCAGCACTGATGATCTATTGTAATAATTAAAAAAATTTTTTAATGTTTATAAATTTATAAACATTATAATGCAATGTTTATAAATTTATAAACATTTTTAATGTTTATTTATAAACATTAATGTTTATTTATTAACAGAGAGAGAGAGAGAGAGCAGGGGAAGGGCAGAGAGAGACAGAGGGAGACACAGAATCCAAAGCAGGCTCCAGGCTCCGCACTGTCAGCACAGACCCCGACGTGGGGCTGGAACCCACGAACTGTGAGATCATGACCCAAGCCGAAGTCGGACGCTTAACCAACTGAGCCACCCACGTGCCCCAAAACAATACTTTTAAGAGCCCATAGCCACTTCACAGCCATTTGGATGGTTATTTAAAAAATAAGAACAAAAACAAAAAGAAACCCTGAAGTGCCTGGGTGGCTCAGTTGATGAAGCATCCAACCTCGGCTTTGGTCATGAGCTCATGGTTCATGAGTTCAAGCCCCACATCGGGCTCTCTGCTGTCAACGCAGAGCCTGCTTTGGATCCTCTGTCCTCCCCCTTCCCCCCGTCCTTCTCTCACTCTTGAAAATAAATAAAACATTAAAAAAACCCAGAAAATCTTAAGTGTTGACAATTATGGGGAGAAGTGGAACTCTTCTGTATGGCTGGTGGGAATGGAAAATGTGTAGCTGCTCTGGAAAATAGTATGAGGGCTCCTCAAAAAATTGAAATGTAGAATTACCTTATGATCCAGCAATTGCATTTCCAGGTATATACCAAACGAAATGAAAGCAGGGACTCAAACATATACTGGTACACCCACCCTAGCAGCATTACTCATGACAGCCAAAAGGTGGAAGCAATCCAATGGCCCATCGTTGGATGAATGGATAAACGGAATGTGATCTCTACATACAATGCAGTATTATTCAGCCTTAAAAAGGACAGGAATTCTGACACATGCTACAAGGGGGAATGAACCCTGAGGTCATTAGGCTAAGTGAAATAAGCCAGTCATAAAAGGACAAACAATGTATGGTTCCACTTATAATGAGGTTCCTAGAGTAGTCAGATTCACAGAGACCAAGAGTAGAATGAATGGTGCCTGCCAGGAGCCGGGGGAGGGGAATGTATTGAACGGCTACAGTTTCCATCGAGCAAGATGAAAAGTTCTAGAGACGATTACACAACAGTGTGAATATACTTAATGCCACAGAACTGTACCCTTAAAATTGGCCAAAATGTTAACTGTTATCTTATGTATACTTTATAATATATTTTGCATTAAAAAAGCTATATTCAATAAAATATACTCTTTGCATTTTTAAAGTGTGTAGTCTCAGGGCAGAGCCACTAAGCTGTTGATCCACCAAGAGGCAGGTGTGAGAGAATTTCCACATGAATTCCCTTTCCATCTCTATAGGGTGATAAAAAGGAGCAGGGTGTCCATTATAAGAGGCAAGTTCTGGCAGTTAGACCAGAGACTGTTAAACTGTGATGAAATGGGACCATTGAGTTGAGAATTAAGATTGTAAATGGAAAGATGAAAATCTCATCTTGACTCTGTGTCATAATGACTCCAGCAGTCTTTGTCTGGTTTTGGCTGAATCGAAGCACGATTCCAGGCCTGGGAATGGACACAGAAAGTTCCCTGGGTGGAGCCCTCCACGGTTGTCTTGTCCACGCTGAAAAATTGAACAGGCTGCACAGAAAGTCCAAATAATTCCTGTGTGTTCTCCTCCCTTTGCATCACATGTGTTTGGGGAAAATGGTGCCTCTCTTCTAAAGCAATGCATCGTTACTATTGCAGGGTGACAGAGGGGACCCAGGACCTCCTGGCTTGCCGGTAAGTCTCCCCAGCAGGCCGTTTGCTTCTATTGCTTCCCACACTGTTTGTATCCTAGCAGGACCGGCTGCAAAATTTGCAGAACCCACCGGGCAAAATGAGAGCTTTGATCCCCTGTTCAAAAATTATTAAGAATTTGATGGTGGTGACAGCAGAGTGTTATATCAGGCATGTGCCCCTGTGTGACCATGCAGGTCCCAGGCCCGTGAACTAACGGTCCTGGAGTCTCCACAAGCTGCTGCTTACCTTCGTCTTCTGTTTTTTAGTGGTCATTTGGCCTTACTCAGGTGCATACACTCACTTAATATTTGGGAAGGTACATGTCCCTCTAGACTACCCAAATAATACATGTTGGTGGAAACGACTTTGCTTTATACCATTCTGCCTGCTGAATCAGTAACTGTGTATTGCATTTAATTTTTTCCCCATCTTTATCTTCCTGAAGTTGTTTTTTTTTTAATTTTTCAAAATGTTTTTATTTATTTTTGAGACAGAGAGAGACAGAGCATGAGCAGGGGAGGGGCAGAGAGAGAAGGAGACACAGAATCCGAAACGGGCTCCAGGCTCCGAGCTGTCGGCACATAGCCCGATGTGGGGCTTGAACTCACGGATCGTGAGATCATGACCTAAGCTGAAGTCAGACGCTTAACCGAGCCACCCAGGCGCCCCTATCTTCCTGAAGTTGTAAATCAATGATTGTATTAGTTTTTTGCAGTTAATCAATCAGTGTTCACAAGATTAAGATTGACAGCAATTATGCCTCCGAAGGATTAACCTCTTATTTTGCTTGGCAACTTTTGGCTGTAGACGGGCTTGCTTTCCCACATTACTTTCCTCATAACCCTTCAGGCTCAGTTCGACGTAATCAATGAGATACCTTCATGTTGCCGTTAAAATAAATACCAGTTCATCCTCCTGGAGACAGGGATTTCTTGCATGCTCGCAAATAATTTGACATGGGCAGAGTTGGTGGAAGAATAGAGCCTCTCCCCACACGTCTAGGAATGCACAGCTGTAACCCTTCCTTGTGAATTTGTGTGGAATTATGCTATCACGTACATGGTGCAGAAAATTGTGACTGAATCACCTTAATCTTGAATCAGGGGCATTTCTATTCACATTGATCTGATAGGGTATGTCTTAAAAATATATTAAAGAGTATAAATACAGTCATAGTGTAATATTCATTGTTATTAGCTAATATGAATGTTTTAAAAAGCATCTTGACATACATCAGTTTTATAACATATAGAATTTAGGAGTAGCTGGTAATAAGTTTTCTTTGTTCTTTACTTTTGCTATTGCAAGATTTATTTATAAACAAGTAGATTGATCTCTGGGTCTTAATTTAATCCTAAATGTAAGAGTTGGTCACACCTGCCAGACTATTGCTCTCATGTAGCTCTGTGCCCTTTTTTTTTTTTTT